AAACTGCGGGGAACTATGCAAAAAACGCATCTTCACACGGGCAGCCCGTGCGTTGGCCAATTATTATTCCTCTTATTCCGTGTGGCGCTTTTTTAGCAATGGTTATCTTCACCGCGCTTCCAGCTGGCACAAGCACCGATGAAGGTCGTATTCTGGTCGATGAGTCAGATTATCGAGGACGTTAGACTTTTTTTCACTTGCTGAGGCTTATTTCCACTTTTGTGCTGTTTTTGTTTACAACCTATAATTTGCTACTCGTGCATAATTTTACACAGAACCAGAATAAAATAAAATAACTGCTACAGCGGCTCCTTTGACGGACATACATAGAATAAGCAGTGGGTACTAACCGGAGGTATGCAGCTTAGAACTGAAGGGCCTGGCATAGACGCTCTCGGCACTTGGGAGCGCCCCAGTCGGGTAAATAAGTAGTAGGTCCGCGGCTTTCTGACTTTTCTCAAAATGTCGCGGGTCCGCAGCTTTCTAGCTTTTCTCAAAATGCTGTTGCATTTGCTAAGAGAAGTTTTTCATCGGTCTTGCACAACTGCACTTGAAATTTAGTTTACTGAAACGAGCTGACGCACTAAGAGAGGATATCTAGACTGATTCTCGAGAGGTCTTGTTATTCTTGGAATGTACTTCACTGAGCAAGATTTGATAAATTACGAACTTTATCAACTTATTACGCATTCCTTTATCGGTGAAGAAGGCGATGCTACGTTTTGAAAATTGGCAAAAATACTTGGGTATCATTTTTATACCGTATACGACCACACGGGTCGTGATATTAGACAAGTCGTTATATATTAATCTTTAAGAAAGTAAAAGGTACTTCAAACCGGCTTGAACAGTAGCACTGTGTTAGACACAACCATCTGCTCTCTGAGAAGCAAAGTGCAAGCAGTCCTAGAAGTGGTCTGTGCCAGTACGAAATTATCTTCAAAACGAATCATCGTGTCTCAGATTGTTTGGTTTGCCTAATGGCACGTTCGGAGCATCAGCTCCAGCTTAATAGAAAGCAGCCAGATTGATGAAGCGCTGCTTTCAAATTGCTATTTATCAGGTTGGCTTAATGCAGATTGATAAGTCGCAACTTCATTTGATGAGTGTCATTATAGCTGACAATCTCTGCATTGTTTCCATGGCCGAAATTATATTACTTCCTGAGCCGACTTGCTTTTACTTCAATTTTTTTTTCTCGGAGAAAAATGCTAAAGGAACTTCATGTTTGTCATTGTTTTTTGGTCCTTGATCCTGACCACTAGAGAGCTTCGATTTGTTTCTGCCTAGTAATTTTTGCCCTTTAGAGACAGATTTTCAAGGAGAATTAGTCATATGTAGTCTCCAAAGCACAGGTTTAATCGAGCATAAAACTGCGCGAAGCTGCATGGTGTGACACCGCAGCACTATTTTTAAATACGTCCATTCATTACTGAATTATTATTATTATAGTAGCAGCAAGCGCATTATTCCGGAAAAGACTCATATCTTGCTAACTCTCATGCCAAAATTATTAGGACAACTGTTGAACTGCTAGATCCCTTTCTTCGCCAGAGATTTTGTTCCCGTTCCGATCAACATGGCAACTTCTCTTGCGTATATGCCACTGACTCAAATTATCGTAATTAGTATACTGACTGAAATTGCAGTGGAAGATGAGCAACTGCCATTTGAAATCAAGGATGTCGTCCGGATCCGAGCAAATGAAAAATTTTCAAAATATTATGAGTGCATGGATGAACTTGGAGAGTTAGTTACACGGCTATTGATTTTTGTACGTCTCGTTCAAAACTTCACAGAGTCCATGAATTTTCAAAATTTAATATTTGCATGGTTCTTTCTGAAGAGTTAAGAAAAACTGCAGTGAAGTATCTTTATCATCACCTCCCTACTCTTGTTTTTTTATAGCTAATCTATGTCCTGAGTGTTGGCCTGTAAAACTTATGCGTAGCTCTAAATGACCAAAGAAACATAAGTCTCCTCCCCTTCCCCTCCCCCTTTTGTTTTAACTCGCTCTGTAAGGTTGGCTTAGTCAGCTGTAGTCCAAGTAGCAGTACATGCAGTCGATAGCAAAACTCTGACTGGGCTATCTGATAGATGCTTAAGTGTAGCTATGCCAAAAGCGAGCTAGCACTGTTTCGTGGCCACTGTCGTTCGTAATCTTGGGTAGGAGAGGAACAGTTACTGCATTTGTCTGTTTAGGATATTTCCTTCAATTATTTATGCGCTGCATAAATCAAGGACACATCATAGCACAAATGTTGGCGCCTGTGTATCCTTGCTGATATAATCCGAAATGAGTATTCAGCGGGATCTAGGAGCTGAAAGATTGGGGGGAAATATAATCAGTTATGTGCGTGCGCCAAGCTTTACACCAGCTTTTCCTTTCCGTGTATCCTGGTCTTCACAGCCATGTCGAAATCCAACCTAACACCACAAGTGTTCGAAGTAGAGCAACTGAAAAAACCGAAATTTTGTTCGTGTACGTTCACTGAAATTCCAAAACCATAGTGACAGGCACGGTTGTCTTGCTTTTGCATCGATACATCTTTCAACTGTACCCCTTGTCAATTCCGCAGTGCACTGTGACGGCATCATTTCAGTGATCAGTAGCCACCGTAAAATATGCAGAAGCCAAAACGACAAAATCTGAGATATACTGACATGGGCCTGAAATCAATACGCAGTGCTCTCTCCGGTCTGACTACTGACCTTAGATCCATGAATCTTTTTGCAATCTTACCCAAGGATTATGAGTTTTTGGGATACGAGGAAATGCACAAGCCGACTTAGCAGTCTGAAAATCTACGGCTTTTGCCCGAGATTGTTTTTCGATCTTGAATCTAAGTCATTCTACTGTTTAGCAAGCGCACACACGAAATTTTACATCTTTCAAGAGCTGCCCATGCAGGCCACTGTTTTTTAATTGATCCTTTTTTTCAACATGGGCCAGGTTTTATGTTTAGAGGAAAGTTCGGAAAGGTCTATCGATGCCGCGAAAAAGCAACAGGTCTGCAGCTGGCAGCGAAAAGAATCAAAATAAAGCGCGATGCGGACCGAGAAAAAGTGGAACGAGAGGTCGGAATCTTTTCAGAAATAATAGCTTTTCTCGGTTGTTATCACAACTTGGAGACTGGTGTAGCTTATTGTACTGATAAGAAAAGCCAATCGGCAGATACTGTGAGCAAATGGCGATCACTGTGATTTAGGTGGCGATAATGACGCAACTGCGGCATCCCAGAATAACGCAAATTTATGACGCTTTCGCCACACCTGAAAACGACGTCGTATTGGTTATGGAAATGTGAGCTTATTATCTTTCTCAGCTCGGCTTGCTGCTTTGAGGACTAATTGTCCCAGATGATATTCCTGCCATCCTATCCCAAGAATGTGGCGACCGAATTTCAGTGTAAATGGCGGCGAACTGTTTGATCGAGTGGTCGATGAAAATTACATTTTAACCGAAATGGCTGTTGTTATGATTGTATGTCAGTTATGTGAAGCCATAAGTTATATTCATAGCAAGAATATTGTTCATCTGGATATTAAGGTAGTTTAAAGGATGATTTTTCGTTTCGTAAAATTAGACCTGTCATTCTTCCAACCAATGTTCTTGATTAAAATTGAAAAATTTTCGAATTTTTTGACCAAAACCTTGACGAATATGCATCAGAAGTGATGCATAGAGTTTTTCAAGGGTGAGGTCAGCAAGCTGAGCTTAAAGTGAGGCTAATAGCAGGTCCAATTGCAGCCGGAAAATATCATGTGTGTTTCGCATACGGGTAATCGGATCAAACTGATTGACTTCGGTCTTGCTCAGTTTTACGACGGCTCCTCCAATCTGCTGTTCATGGCTGGCACGCCAGAATTTGTTGCTCCCGAAGTGATCAAGTTTGAACCGATTGATTTCCATACGGATATGTGGAGTGTTGGCGTTATCACTTACATTTTGTTAGTTTGCTTTTCCAACTGTGTAAACTGCTGAAGTCATGCGTTTTGATTTATGGTACCGCTAATTTACAGCTCAGCTGATAGAGTTTCGGAAATTTTTTTTTCATTTCATTTTAAGCCTGTGGTAATAATTCTCACTGTTATCGACATTTGTTACTTTCACTGGCACGTGTTTGGAATCTGGATATTAGTCATCCTAGGATTCATTAGCGTTCCTCATAAACTTCGAGCCGAATAGGCTGAAACTTCCAGTGCATGGGCAAAACAGCTTATGTTTCAGATTATCAGGCATATCACCATTCCTCGGTGAAACGCTTGGCGATACATATGTGGCTGTCGAGAAAGGCGAGTGGGAATTCGACGACGAAGCATTTGAGGCCATCTCTCCGGCTGCCAAAGATTTCATATCCAAACTTCTGATAATGGATCAAAGGTACGCTTTACTTCCGTCTCCGAAAAATATTTTGGTTCTGCACATCACAAAAATTCCATTGATATCCTCACGAAATTTTTTTACTTCGGACGGGAAAACTAAGCGGAGATGCAAAACAATTCATTTAAAATGTATCAGATATGAAGACACCGGAATCAATTAACATAAAATGGACGTGGACAGATTTGACACTGACCACTATGGGCAATAATGTCCATCAGAAGTCCCGAAAAATAATCTGCAATAAGTTGGAAGAAATAGCAAGTTGTATCAAAAAGCTGGTACGATGATATGTTTTGAGGCTGGGTTCTCCCAGAACGCACTGGCTGAACCAGTCATCATTTGAAGCATGCTCAAGCTGTTTGTAGTTGTTGCTCTAAAGCGCTCACTGGATCGAGCGCGCGCTTATCAGTTTTGCCCTAACTCATAAAGCAGCTTCATAAGTGCTTAAATGCACTGAAATATTCCACATTACTAAGAACTTGATCGAATAAACACTTTGCTAAAAAGGAGAAGGCGATTGCATTTTACTCATGCTTTTTGATCGCTTGTGTGTTCAACCACTTTCTCCCCAAAATCTCAAGCTTGTATCTTTTTTGTTTGCTAAGTTATGAAATTTGCTGGGATTTGTCCTGGAGGTGAATGGTTGTTGCGCAGAGTGACTCGGGAGTTAAATTCTGCTACGAGGGATTATATGCTGGGGACATTTACAAAATTTCGATTTCCTAGCTCCGCAATTTTGGATCTGAAATATGCAGTAGTTAGAAAGATACAAATGCATACATACTACGCACACTCTGTGCACCTTGCCCTTAATACGTTTCTGGTTTTCACATAGCGTAAAAATGCACAAGATGACTATTTTCCAACAAAAGATACTCCACTTATGGCCTTCTTCTGCCATTCAACCGATCTTACTTGCCTCAGTCGGATTTCGTGGGTTTATTTTTTCAGTTGGATTTATTTACTGCAAAATTTTCATTTCATGTTTTCTTTGACGAAAACAGGAAAGGCATTTGGTCCACATGTGCATGCCAGTAAATCTGTGTTGACACTTCTCTTCCCACGCGACAAGCTGGCTCGCTAACAGTTGTAGCACTAGATGTTATTCAATATTTCGATCTAACAATTAAAATAACTAACAGCTACAATAACAGGCAAAGGATGCTTCCGAATGAGTGCTTGAACCACCCATGGATTGTTGGCAGTCGTGCTAAAGCCGCGAATGATTTGATTTTGAACGCACCAAATGTTGGCGTCCCATTATCGAAAGAAGGACTCAAATCGTATCTCCGAAACAAGCGCTTTCGTGTGAGTACTCTTTTTTTTTTAATCTCCAGTTTATAAATTATTGGCAAAGATTCGGACGGGATGCTGACAGGTAAGC